CCTGCCCTGGACACAGGTCTCTGTTGGGCCTCTGTGTCGGGTAATGCCTCCCAGTGACCCTTCCCTGCCTCTTCCGCAGCTGCTGCCATCCCAGGAGCTTCTGTGTCTCAGCTGAGATGTTTGGCAGAGGCACCTAAGGGAGGCATGGTCATGGATGCTGGGGCACTGGTGCGGCCATTTTGTTTCATCTACACTGGCTCTGGTGGCCTCTTATAGAGGGGGCTGCTGCCTTCTCTCTCCGGCCCTTCTCTCATGTCTTCACTCATCGGGGGCTTTGCCTGGGGAAGCAGAAGACACCAACAGCTATTTTCCTGCACCTGGCACGGTCCACAAAGTCTTTTCAGCTATTTTCCTGCACCTGGCATGGTTCACAAAGTCTTTTTGACATAAGCCTCTCAGACTGTTCCCAGCCCACCCTGGCTCCCACTCCCAGGCCATTCTGCTCCAGGGTGAGAGGTTTCCAGGCCTGTGTTGAGAAGCCCAGCATGCACCCTGTAGTGGTGTGGAACCCTGGGGCACATACCCTGACAGTTGTGTGCCCAGCCAGTCCCATCTGCGTCATGCAGTAGAGAGTTTTCTCAAAGTCAAAAATTGGCTCATCACAAATTCTTCTTTTTTTCTAGGTGTTGCTGTACATTAAACTTTGGTTTGCCATTTTATTTGGTTATTTCAGTGGGGTTTATAACATGGAAGTAAACATAGGCACAAGATGTTTGAGACCTGGTATGGCCTTTTTTTTTTTTTTTTTTTTGAGACAGAGTCTCGCTCTGTCTCCTAGGCTGGAGAACAGTGGCACAATCTCGCCTTTTTTGATCAGAAAAACAAAGAACAAACAACCCTTTGGTCACTGAACAAGAGCTGAGAAATGGAGTGCAGACACTCGCTTGATTCTGTGAGCAAAGAAAGGGACTGCGAGACCCCCGCAAAGACCTAGGTCCCTCCCTGGAGTGTCTCTCACCTGCAAGGGTGCACAGAGGAGCGAAACGTACTTAAAAACAGGGAAAACCCACACAGGCTGGTGTCCGATCCTAGCGGCTACTGCCGCGGAGGCATTTCATAATGGGGCACAGGGGAAAAAACCAGAGAGAAAATTTCACATGAAGACAGTGGGGGAGTCCTGCAGGGGTCGGTCAGCTCAGACTGTGCCATCCCTCCCAGCTGGGGCCATCCACAGGCTCTGAGAGTGGCTCTCGCAGGCCGTGTGTATTCTGGGGATGGCAGGGGCCAGGGCTGCCTCCAGAACTCCCTGCACAGCCTGGATTTATGTAACAGCAACAAAGAACGGAGGTACATGAACAGACTTCAGAAGGATGAAGCCTTATACACCCAGCTGCCCATTAACCAGGGAGTGGAAGGTGTGGGGTGGAAGGAGGTGGCCACACAGAGCCCCAGGTGGGAACTAGCTGCCCACAGTCATCTCTGAGTCACCTGGGCAGGGGCTTACTGTGTTGAAGGCACAAGAGGAGTCCTCTATTTTCGTGTTTCTCAAACTCAAATGTGCACACACAATTTTTTCCCCCGTGCCCCATTATGAAATGCCTGCGTGGCAGCAGCAGCTAGGATTGGAAACCCGCCTGTGTGGGTTTTGCCTGTTTTTAATACGTTTCACTCCTCTGTGCATCCCTGCAGGTGAGAAACAGGTAAACAGAGGCTCCAGATATCCCCAGATATCCTGGGAATCTTATCAAAATGCATCTTCCAATTCAGTGGATCTAGGATGCAGGTCTGAGCTGGGGCCTGAGAATGTGCATTTCTGACCAGCTCCCAGGTGATGCCGAGGCTGCTGGGCTAGGGACAACACTTTGAGCAACATGATCTTAATGGAACTCCCTTGTTGACTTGGTGAAGCCCCAAATAGAGACAGGGTCCCTCAGTGTGGTGCCCAGGCCCCAGCATCAGCTGGGAATTCTGACTCTGCCCCAGACCTGCTGTGACAGAAATGGACATGGAGGGGCCTGGGGATCTGTGCTTTAACACAGCTGGCCAGGTGATTCTGACAGATACATGCTCAAGTGTGGGAACCACTCAGGCTTTGCTTAAGGAGAGTGGTGTGGCCCAGGAAAACCCAGCCGACACTTGTGTTCTGGCCCAGCATCTGGGGAGGTCTTTCTAGGGACTGCCCCTCAAACAGGGCTTACCTTCCAAGGTAGAGCAGCGTTTTCGTGGAAATTCCCTGGACTTTGGCTTCACAGCTGCAGTTGATGGAGTGTGACTTGATGGCTTAAAACAGTAGTGTATCCTCTCACATTTCAAGAGGCCGGAAGTCTGAGATCGAGGTGTCAGCAGAATTGGTTCCTTCTGGAGGTTCTGAGGGAAAAACCGTCCCAGGCCTCTCACCTTGCTCCTGGTGGTGGCCGGCTCTCATCGACTTGCTTTGGATTACAGACACATCGCTGTGCTCTCTGCCTTCCTCTCCACCAGGCCTTTCCCCAGTGTCGGTGTGCCCTTTCCCTGGACAGTGAGGACGCTCCTAAGTCCATTAAGGCCACTCTCATTGGATTTGGGGCCCACCCTAATCCAGTATGATCTCATCTCGTCCTCACCTTAACTACATCTGCAAGACCCTATTTCAAATAGGATCACCGTCTTAGTCCATTTTCTGTTGCTTGTAAGAGAATGCCCGAAACTGGGCGATTTACAAAGAAAAGGAACTTATTTCTTACAGTGATAGAGACTGAGAAGCCCAAGGTCGAGGGGCCGCCTCTGGTGAGAGCCTTCTTACTGGTTGGCAGGCTCTCTGCAGAGTCCTGACGTGGCTCAGGGTGTCCCAGGGTGAAGGGACTGAGCGTGCTGGCTCAGGTCTGTCTTCCTCTTCTTATGAAGCTCCCCGTCCCACTCCCGGGATAATGCATTAATCCGTCAACCCAGTTGTTCGTTAACCCATCATTCCTTGAATGGATTAATGCATTCATGACGGCCGAGCGCTCACAACCTAATCACCTCCTAAAGCTCCCCCTGCCCCAATACTGACACACTGGAGATTCAGTTTCAACATGGGTTTCAGAGGAGACAAACATTCAAACCATAGCAGGCCCGCTCTGAGGTTCCAAGTGGATGTTAATTTTGGGAGATGCTATTGAACCCAGACGTGCTCCAAATTAGTTAGAAAGTAGACCAAGGGCAGGGCTCAACCAGAAAAAATGGACACCTCTGCTGAGCCCTGGATACATTTCAGGTGAGCGTTGGGCATTCTCTGGGCCTCCCTGCATCTGAAAGCTCCCACTGGTTTGGAGAACCCCTCTGTTGAGAGGGCCCATCTGCTTCCCACCACAGGGCTGGAGATGTGGACGCCTGCTGTCCAACCTGCCTCACCCGCCCTGGGGTACAGGCCCTGGCTTAGGTCCAGACAAGCAGGTTTGCCCAGCCCAGGCTGCAGGTTGGACTTCAGCAAGGCTGGATGTCCTGGGAGGATGGTGGTGGCAGTGGCCACGGCTCCTCCAGGTTCCGGAGGGCAGTGTTCCGAGCTCAGCACAGTGATAGCTGAGAGAGGGGTGAGCTGGGTGTCTGCACCCAGGCAGCTCCAGGGTGTCCGGTGATGCAGCGACCCTCTGGCTGTGCATCTGCCGTGGCTGGTTGTGGGCTCTTGAGGACTCAGAGAAGAAACTACCACTGAGGACAGGAAACTTCAGAGCACCACAGGTCAGAAGAGCAGGCGGCACTCCCAAACCTGTGAAATCGTGCTGCTTCCTTTTATTTATTTATTTATATTAGCAATTACTTTGAATTCTAATTTGGGAAGGAGACGTCTGTTCTGCGGCTAACAGTTCATTTCCACAACAGGTCTCGTTAGATGACACTGCGTATCTTAAAGTAACACAGTGGACAGGAAATAACGGGAAGGTGTAGGTACTGCTGGCTTGGCTCAGTCAATCCGGCTTAGGGTGAGCCGTGCTGTGGCCAGCCAAGGGGAAACAGCTGTCGGCAGAAGCAGAGACAGAAGGCAGCAGAGGCGTCTCGTTCGCTGGTCACTAGGGGAAGCTGGCCAGTTCACACACAGTTACTGTGACAACAGAGAGTCATCCCCACTGACAAGACGAGGTGCCGCGATCACCCACCATATGCACTAGTCTTGGATTTGATTGGCTTTGACAGTCGTTATGAGCTGAATTGTGTCTTCCCAAAATTCGTATGTTGAGATTCTAACTTCTGGCAGCTCAGAAAATGACAGTATATGGAGACAGGAGACTTACAGAGGTAATTAAGTGACCATGAGGTCATTGGGGTGGTCCCTAATCCAGTATGACTAGTGTCCCAAGGAAACAGGGGAAAGGAGGACGCACTGGTAGAGATGCATAGAGGGAAGACCACCCAAAGACAGGGAGAAGACATACATCGACAAGCCAAGAAGAGACCTCAGAAGGAACCAGCCCTGCTGACATCTTCATCTCTGACTTCCAGTCTCCAGAATGGTAGAAGTGTAAGAAAATCAATTTCTGTGACTGAAGCCACCCCTGCTGTGACATTTTCTTTAGGCAGCCATGGAAAACAAATACAGTGATTTCTACAAATGCTAAGTCACCATCATGAAGTAATTTTCCACTGTTACAGATTTTTTTTTTTTTTTTGAGACAGAGTCTCACTCCGTCACCCAGGCTGGAGTGCAATGGCATGATCTCGGCTCACTGCAACCTCTGCCTCCTGGGTTCAAGCAATTCTCCTGCCTCAGCTTCCTGAGTAGCTGGGATTACAGGCGTGCACCACCATGCCCAGCTATTTTTTGTGTTTTTAGTAGAGATGGGGTTTCAGCATGTGGGCCAGACTGGTCTCGAACTCCTGACCTGTGATCTACCCACCTTGGCCTCCCAAAGTGCTGGGATTACAGGCGTGAGCCACCGTGCCCGGCTCACTGTTAGGGATATTTAACAAAATGTGCGTAGGGTATAAAGGCAACTTTTAGAGAGGAGTTCCAAAACATTTTCAGAAGAGACATCACTCAAATAATTCTCCTTATTAAGCTCACGGCTTTGCAGGGTAACGTGTATTTAATAGCAACATTTGTTGCCAGCCTCTCTTGAGTGCCAAGTGCTGGGATGTACCTCATTCATTCAGGCACGGTCCATGCTGCAAACTCACGGAAGCAAGTGCTTCCTGTTTTCATTGTCACATAGATCCGCAAGACTTGGGATGTCTGCAGACAGTCTCATTGCGTTACACCATCCCTATTTTCTAGATGATAAAATTGCACGTGGATTTTCTCTGGGAATGTTATCATCTTTGGATTCTCAAAGGTGTCCACAGCTAGGATTATTTTCCTCAACGTCATGGATATTGGCATTAATAACTACATGTCTTTGTAGTTTTGGAAACTACTTCTCATCTGCAGAAATAACAGTAGGTAATTTTTCAAAGGGCCGAAAGTGCCTTCCCACAGGCCCCTGCTGGCCTCACGATCGCTTCTGCTTCCGTCCCATTAGCTGGAGATAGTAATCGAGATTATCATCCCCAAACCTTGGGGAGGAGCTGGGGAATATTGATCCACCTTCCGTTCCCTGAATTTACCAGTTGCTTTTAATCTTAGCAAGCAGAAGACAAGCAGAAATATTGCATCTGTGCTTTCCAAGTTTACCAAAGAATAAAGCGTATACTTCCTCTTGTTGGCTTTTTTATTTCTTGAGTAAAGGTCACAGTTCAGTCACTCGAATCAAGTGATTTCACCATCAGGGACTCATTTATAACAGGAACTTGCTCCCATTTTCTTGCAAAATTGCCGAATGATATCAATCAGTCCTGGCGCTCTTCCCCCGGACGAACTCCCTGTTTACATTTCTGGTTAGGGGGTATTTTTCAGAATCCCGCTGTGGACTTCCCACCGTGAGACCAAGTGGCTGGCTGCTCCTCCTGTGAGTGACGTGTTTGGATGATGGCTGTGGGGTAACTTTTTAGGACAGGCCGGCTTCTGCTGGGCCTTGAGCGCTGAGTCACCAGCTGCCTGAGGCAGAGTGATGGCTGCCCTGCCATTCCGGGGACTCCAAAGAGGATGCATCTTCTTACCTCTTGCTTTCCTAGATTTCTGCAGCTTTCCTCCTTACTTTCATTAGCAGGAGTCTGTGAACATCCCCGTTGTCCTCTTTGGAGACACGGAGAGAGAATGGACAGGTGCTGGGGAGGGCCAGGTGGCCTCCCACCTGGGGTCCACGGAGTCTGCATTGACCCGTGGGCTCAGAGACGTGACCTAGAGTTGGCAACCCTCCCTCTTCACTCTGGGGTGGTATGTCCACAGCTAAGCCCCTTCCCCACTGACCTACTGACTCCCTTCCTGGCCGGCACCTGGACAAAGGGAACCAACTCCAGAGCATGGAGGGTCTGGGTCTGGAAGACACTGAGGTCATGAGGACAGCAAAGGGAGACTCACTGGGCTGTGACTTTCTGTCCAGGGAGGAATCAAGGGGAGCTGGGAGCCACAAACCGAAAAGTCCTTGGGAACTACAGAAGCTGGCCCTGGGTTCTGAGCCCTGGAGATGGCCCTGGGGATGCTCCATCTCAAGGGACTTGTGGGCAGCCCCCTGAGCTCCTGACAGAGCCAGCAGGGAGCAGCTGGGTGAGCCAAGGTTGCTCTGCCCACTCACTGGTCTTGTCCTGGCCCAGGGAACTCCGGAACCAGGGTTCTCGTTTGGCGTGAAGAGCAGGAACATCTCCATTTCATTTTCTGGGTTTTTCCCCTCTCACCAGGACTCAGGTGTTTCCCTCACAACTTCACACCATCATGTGGCCTCATTATCCATTGAGGGAAATTGAGGCAGAAGAGGGGGTGGGGCGAGTGGGCTTCTTGGTGTCCGCTCGGAGTAGGGGAAGATCACAATGTGACCACTAGGCCCACTCTGTGACCTTGGGTGGATCCCACGTGCTGCTGGTCAATGTGGCAGGGGTGAGGGGGCAGAGCTGCTGTACTACACTTGCAGGAGCCATGAGGAAACTGAAGCACAGCAAGATGTGTGCCTTTCTCAGTGTCACATGACAAGGAAGTGGCCGGGCTGGGCTGAAAATGCAGGTTTTCCGATGCCTGCCACATCAGTCCTCACACGCATTCCCATCCTAGGGCAGGACACAAGCTCATCAGGGAGGGTTTGTACTTTCAGGAAGCTGGAATGTGGGGCGGCCCAGTGCGGAGCTGAGCGTCCCGGGGGTCATGGTGGAGAGGTCAGCAGCGCTGCCATCACTGGGTGGCAGCTCAGGCGGCTGGGCCAGCCAGGGGAGGATGGCAGGGCGCTCCCCGAGGTCTCTCCTTGTCCCTTGGGCCCTCGGCAGGCTCTTCTCAGGGTCCCAGGAGAAGGGGCTCTGAGACGTCCTTTCGTGTCCTGCCAGCCTGGGTCTGAGGCTCACAGTGGGGTGTAATTAATATTCCTGCTGCGCACCCAGCACGGCTCCTGACAGCCGATGGGAAACACCAGGTTGCCTTCATTCAGCTGTGGCCACAGACGGGGGTGATGCTGAGAAGCTGCTATAGAGGGGTGGTGGTGGCTCTTCCCGCTCCTCACTCGGATGCCCTGAGGGGCTGTCACTTCCTGAATTCCCCCTGGTTTTCTCTCGGGCACCGTTTCATCCTGTCTGGAGGAGGCAGTCGAGGGGGCTCCACGTGCCTGACTGTGGTCGCCCTGTTAGGGGGTTGCCATCGGCATAGCCCCCCCAGGAGCCAAGAACAAGAGCCGCCCCTCAGGTTTCATCCTGCCGCATGTGTTTGTTTTAAATCACCTTCCACCATGAGTGTGTCTGATTCCCGCTCTAAGTGCTGTTGACAGATGTGTTAATTCATGTATTTGAACAGATATTTAGCAACCGGCAGAAGACTCAGCTAAAAATAGGTCATCTTTCTAAACAGGCTCCTTAACACCAGGCTGGTACTCACGGCTGTGAACGCAGAACTTCGTGCAGCCATTGGCAGCATGAGGCCACTCTAGCGAGGCCAGGAGGCCTCAGGTGCAGGCAGCAGGAGGACGCGCCCTCCCTGGGGGACACCGAAGTACCCGGGCCACCGGGAGAGAAAGGGACTTGGAGCTGGGGCAGTGGCCGGCGTGCCCTCCAGACTTGATTGGAGCCTCTGCTCCCTGCGGTCCTGGGGGGTTGGGCTGGTCACTGCCCACCCCTTTGGCTCCTTGTTTTGCCATTTGCAAAATGAGGGGTCCGGACTGAGTGGTCTCCACAGCGCCTCTTGAATGAATCCCAGGGAAGCCGGGTGTGGTGCGGTGAGGGCAGGGCCCCTGGAGGGGCGGAGCTGGTCCAGGCGTGTCACGTGCTGAGGAAGGACCTGGCGGGTCCTGGTTGGGATGGAGCCCCCGCTGTCCCTGGAAGGTTGTAGCTCACTTCCTGGGGAGCACAGCTCGCCGCAGAAGAGACGGAAGGATGGGTCTTTGGACCCTCGTCTGCTGGGATGGAGAAGCACTGGACTGAGCTGAGTTCTCAGGGTGACACCACCACCTCTGGCAGCCCCGTGGTCCCTGCCGCTCCGCCACTTGGCCAGGAGGCTGTGCTCGGCAGAAGTAGGACAGCAGAGCCACAGGGGGCTCTGGCCTGGGTCCGGTGGGCAGCAGCCGCTCCCCCATCTTACAAGGTGGGTCCATTATTATCTTCTACAGATGATGAGCCTGAAGCCCAGGCCGGGAGGAACTTGCCTCAAGCCCCCAGCTGAAAGCAGTGGAGGTGGGTTTGACTCAGGCCTTGCAGACTGAGCCCAGGGGCCCCACACTCAGTGGCCTCAGAGTGGGGGTCGGAACTGCGTCTCTCAGGCGGTCAGGTCAGGCAGCACAGTGGAGGAACACGGAGGCCAGGATGGAGGCCACGGGGCGTGGGGGCTGTGCCAAGACTGGGGGAGCAGAGAGTAGGGAAGGAGGCAAAGGGGTGGCCTTGGCCCAGTGCCTGGAAGTGAGGGGAGGGAGCCCCTCATGAGGGAAGGAGCCTGGTGGAGGAGCTCATCTGCGGTTGGAGACCTCCCTTGCGGTGCTGCAGCCTACCCTGGGCGCCTGTCCAGTGAGTGCAGGGCAGAGGCTGGGAAGGCGTGGGCTGTCTTGCTCCGAAGTCCCACCGGACAGCTGAGAGGAGGAGGTGAGGAGGATGCAACCTCCTGTGGACAGGAGACACCCATCACCGGTGCCCACCACTGTCTGGGGGTGGAGGACAATGGGGCAAGGACACTGTGGGGGATGCAAGGAGGAGACCAATCAGGTAGGACCCTGAGAATCAGCACAGGGAGAAGGGAAGGGGGCAGCGCCCGCGTCCCTGGCAGCTCCCCTGTCTTCCTGGACATCTTTCCCACTGTGCCCCCTGACCCCACAAGGCTGCCTCACAGGCCTCACTCAAATCCTGAGGTTCCTCTGACGTCAGGCCTCCCAGGACATTTCTCTCTTCCTCTCCTACCACATTAGGGTACCTGCTCATGAGCCCCGACAGGGCTTGCTCCCTCTCATCCAGCCGGGAGGCGGGGGACATGGGTGCCAAGCAGCGCAGGCAGATGACGTGTGGCTGGCAGCAGCTGGATCCTTCCCCCCGCTTGCTCCGTGCCCTTCCCATGGAGCTGGGCCCTCCCTGGTGCCAGGGCTATGAGTCACCAGGCCTGAGGGCAGCAAGAGGCCCCTCCTTCCCCTCAGACAAACCCAGCAGGATAAACACTATTTTAGAGGCAGAGTCCCGCTCTGTCCCCCAGGCTGGAGTGCAGTGGCTCCACTGTGGCTCACTGCAGCCTTGGACTCCTGGGCTCAAGTGATCCTCCTGCCTCAGCCTCCTGAGTAATTAAGTTCACAGGTGTGCTGCTGCAATCAATTGTTTTTAAGCGGCCCGTGAAGTTACTTAAATAGGCAGACAGCTGATTCTCAGCACTGAGTGCTTCCTGTGGCTCAGTGCCGAGCACTCTGCACACACATCACGAGGAATCTCATGACCCGTGGTGCAGACTGTGTGCAGCTCCGTCCCACGGGCCTTCCTCAGATGAGGAAGCTGAGGCCCCTGAGGCTGCCTCAACACAGGCTTCAGCCAGTGGGCTTGGAGCCGTCCTCGAGGACAGCGCTTTTGCTTCTCAGACTCTGGTGCACACGAGTATCCCTGGGGCGGGGCCTCGGTTCTACGTTTCTAACAGGCTCCTGGATGACACCTGTGCTGCCAGGCGTCAGGCGCCACAGCTGGAGTAGAAGGCTCTGTCTGCACCTCTGTGCACTATGGCCAGGGAGGTCACAGGCTCTGGGGGTGGAGGTGATGGGTGCAGGCAGAGAATACCCAGGGCCCCTGGGAAGGTTGTAGGCAGGCACCTGCTGGGTACCTGTTGGGCACCTGGCTGACCCATCGACAGACCTTATTCTTCCCTCTACCTCCACTCAAAACCAGCCCAGAGCCTCTGGGAGGCGTGAGGAGCTCCTGGCTGGGGGCTGGAGAGGCGCTCATTTCTTGTCTCTGCTTGCTCAACAAGACACGTGGAGTTAATTAAGACCAAAGTCCTTGTGTTCTGTGCTTGTCTGCAAAGCTTTTTAAAAGCCCACACAAGGTGACAGGTTGGAGGCCTCAGGCCCCTTTAATTAGTCTTTTGTGGCCAATTTCCACTTGGTTCCATTGTGCTTGAGGCCTCTCTTCCTGCCTGAAGTTTCCTTGGCCCCAAGCAGCAGGCCCCTGTTCATCAGGGGAGTAGCTAATTAACCGGGCCTGGTGCGGGAGGAGGCTGGCGGGAGGAGGCTGGCGGACATGGTTTCCATTTTGGGACATTGCATGGCACACGGCTTTTCCTGACTGGTGGATGCCCCCCCCAACCCTGGCTCTGGTTAGCAATCACTTCTGGTCCTACAGCAGGCGTCCCGGGGGGTCACCATTTCACCTCACCCATCACTTCTCCTTCACTGGTAAATGTCAAGATGCTGATTGTGTGGAGTGGGAATCAGCTTGGTACCAAAGGAGCTCTCAGAGGAAAGGGAAGGTGACCCCCTGGTGTTGCCCAGGATGAGCTGACCTGTGGCCCCTGGCCTGCTCTGGCGGGGGAGTGTGAGTGTGCCTCCCCTGCCGAGGCTGCCCCACGGCTCTCCCTGCCAGCCACGTCTGGAAGCTGCTTTGCAGAACCGGGGCCTGGTAAACCCGGGCAGACCCTAAGGACCCAGGGTGAGGGGGTGGCATTGCCTGGGGTGGACAAGGTGTGTCCCTCTGAGAGGGGACATCGGAGCTGAGACACCAGTGAAATGGGGGATGGAGCCATCCACATCTGTGGGAAAAAATTTCCCAAACAGACAATGCCTGGGCCAGGCCAGGAGGCAAGTGACACTTGGTGTGTCAGGGCCTGGGGGGAAGCTGGATGGAGTGGAGGAAGGTAAGGCCAGAGGGGCAGGTGGGAGCCGGGCCGCAGGCTTTCCTGGGGATGGTGAGGACCGTGGATTCTTCCTAAGGATTGGGGGGCCCTAGTTCTGGGGGCTTTAGAGGTGGAACATGATTTGATTGATGTGCTAAAATGTCCACTTATGCTGCCATGGGAAGTCTAGGCTGTGTGTGTCCTGTTTGAGTTTACGTGTATGTGTGCATGCATGCATGTGTTTGCATGTGCAGTGTGGTGTATGTATCATATGTGGTGCATGTGTGTGCATGTGTGGTTGGAACCACCCTTCAGCCTGTGTGTGGTGTACTGTGGCATGTGCATGCATGTGTGATTTGTGGTGTGTGGGCATGTGTGGTGTGTGTTTTTGGTGTGTGTGATGTGTGGCATGCATTGTGTGATATGTGGCATGTGTGATGTGTGGCATGTGTGTATAGGGTGGTGTGATGTGTGTGTTGTGTACATGTGTGTGGTGTGGTTCATGTATGTGTATGTGACATGGTGTGGCGTGTGTGTATAGTGTGGTGTGATGTGTGTGTTGCATACATGTGTGTGGTGTGGTGCATGTGTGTGTATGTGTGTGACATGGTGCTGCATGTGTGTATAGTGTGGTGTGATGTGTGTGTTGTGTACATGTGTGTGATGTGTTGCATGTGTGAATGTGTGTGGCATGGTGTGGCATGTGTGTTTATGGTGTGATGTGTGTTGTGTATGTGTGTGGTGTGGCATATGTGTATGTGTGTGTGGCGTGGTGTGGCATGTGTGTGATGTGCGTGTGTGTGTGTGTGGCATGGTGTGGCATGTGTGTGTAGTGTGGTGTGATGTGTGTGTGTTGTGTATGTGTGTGTGGCATGGTGTGGCGTGTGTATGGTGGGGTTCAGCAGGGAGGCTGCTGCTCTGGTCCTGATGAGAGAGGAGGAGGCTCCAGGGAGGAAGTGGTGGTTGAGGTGCTGAGGAGGTTCTCTTCTGAAGACGTTGTGAAGTTAGATTGGAAAATTTGTGCTCACAGGTCAGGTGTGAGGTGGACAGAAAGAGAGAGGTCAGCACTGGCACCCAGATTCCATGTCTGAGCCAATGATTGAACGGTGGCTTTGTCTCCTGAGCGGGAGAAGACTCAGGGAGGAGCAGGCTGAGATGGAAAGTTGAGTCTGTTTTCCAACATGTTCCTGGTTTGGGGTCCCTGGGAAGGGTGCTGAGGTGGAGAGCTGTAGAGAACAGAGGGGTTGCTCTCGGAGCACACCTGCAGGGGAGCACAGAAAACGTTGTTTACAGAGGGGGTTGTTGAACCATGATGTTGTACTGAGCCTCAGCCATATCCATGGAAGTTCAGGAGCTGGGAGAGCCCTTGGCCTCATCCTGCGTGGGGTGGGGAGGGAGCTCCTGCTGTCATCCGCCAATGGAGTCTGCAGAGGGGCCTCAGCACTGCAGCAGTGGCGGCTGGGAAATGAGTGCCTTGGTCCTATGTGGGGACATTGGGGTGCGCCCCGTGCTCCCACTGGCCCACCCCCCACCCCGGCTTAGGCCACTGCCTCCTATGCTGAGTCCACCCCACCTGGGAAGGTCTGCCCCGGCATCAGGGTGATGTCTCTTCCTAGAGAAACTCACCGGACAAAGGTTAGTGAGGTGAACTTCAGCCCCTTTGATGGCCGTATCTGTCCACTGACCATCAAGACTGGTCAGGGAAGAACCAGGACATGCCTCAGTGGGTCGGCTGGGCTCCCACCTCCTCCTAGGGACCTGGACCAACCCTACCAGGTGGGCTCCCTTCGTTGCTGCTGGACCCCTGGTGGGAGCAGCCTCTTCTGGAACCAGGACATCTAGACCCACTTGGCCTAAATTCACTGGATGGGAAGTGCACAGTCTAGTGTGGTGGTCACTGGCAGTGACGAGGGCAAGGGCAGAGCCCCAGGAGGCCAACCAGGAATGGTGCCTCCTTCTCTGGTGGGAGGTACGAGATTCAGTCATTTGTCCTTTACTTTGTGGGGGATGTCCTGCCATGCCTTGGGTCACTGGGTCCATAAAAGCTAACCTGATGCTGCCGGCCTTGTAACCTTTTGAGAGTTTCCCTCTCATCCTCCGGATAGGAGGGTGTCCTCTAGAGCAGTGATTCTTCAGGGACCACTGGCACCAGGGACCGGTTTTGTGGAGGACAGTTTTTCCATAGACTGGGGCAGGGTGGTTGGGGTGGATGTTTTGGGATGAAACTGTTCCACCTCAGATCATCAGGCATTAGATTCTCGTAAGGGGCAGTCAACCTAGATCCCGCACATGTGCAGTTCACAGTAGGGTTTGCGCTTCTGTGAGACTCTAATGCTGCTGATCTTGTAGGAGGCCGAGCTCAGGCCGTCACACTTGCTCACCTCCTGCTGTGCAGCTTGCTTCCTAACAGGCCGCAGACTGGTGTCATTCCCTGGCCCAGGGGTTGGGGACCCCTGCTCTTTACTTTTATCGTACCAGAGGCTCCGATGTACTGACACTCTTTCTTTTATTCATCTGGTCTTCCTGCTGTGATGCCGTCCATGTGGTGGGCACTGTTAGGACCTGTGGTGTGTGGCATCCTCCATTTGTTGGGTGGTGCTGCAGGAGGACTTCCTGTCACCTGTGCCTGGGCGTTATCTTGGCCAAGGGCAAGTCCCAGAAGGAACCCAGATGTGAGCTGTTAGCAGCTGACACTGCCAGCAGCTGGGATGACAGTTGTCTGGATTTTCAAGGGGAAATTGGGGTGTGGAGGGTGTACAATCAACAGCGGCGTACAACATGTGAAGTTTGGGTTGCATATCTGACATTTGGGTGGTGCTGTGGTTTGAATGAGTCCCCTCTAGAATTCAGGTGTTGAAACTTAATGGCCAATGGGATGTGTTAAGAGGTAGGTCTTTAAGAGGCCATGAGGCAATGAGGGCTGCCCCTTTTGTGATTGAGGTTGAGGCCCTTATGAGAGAGCTTCATTCAGCATTCATCCCTCACCTGCCTTTCCACCTTCTGCCATATGGGGACACAGGGTTCCTCCCCTGGAGGGTGCAGCGTTCAGGGCACCATCTTGGGAGCAGAGACCAGGCCCTCTCCAGACAGTGAACCTGCTGGTGCCTTGATCTTGGACTTCCAGCCTCTTTCTGTTCTTTATAAATTATCCAGTTGGTGGCATTTTGTGACAGTCACACAGATTCCGATGGATGGACTTAATCTGTGGATTTGAGACT